GCCTGTCAGTTTTATGCTGTTTATTTGGGTTTCCGTTTTTCTAATGACCTCCTTCCTTATTGTCCTTTTCATTCCTAACCTGAGTAACGCCCAAAAGGGAGCACAGCTGACCATCTGTGTGGCTGAATTAAACTTTGTAGCATGAAAAGCAAAACATTACACCTCAAAAGTAGACATCACATCGTGAACTCTGCACAGGGCAAATTTAATTAACTCTGTCCTCGGTGCCTAGCTAAGATCTGTATCTGACAAATGAAAGGTCTTTAATGTATGTTTATTGATTGAATGTGCAACTGACTTCAAATGTTTCCTGAGAGCCGGCATTGTAATGGGTACTATTCATAACTAGAATTTGCTGAAAATTTCTACCCAGGGGACAAAACTTATGACTTCTTCTCTTCTTTCTGAACATTGCACAAGGAAGAGTAACCACTGTGTCATTAGTGCTACGTTTTATTCAACCCAAGAAAATCCTGTGTGTTTGGCTGCGGTAACAGCAACGGCTCTCCATCTGGCATTGTGAAAAGATATTCGCTGGGACCTCCTAGATGGCTGGATGCTCTGCTATCCAAATAGCTCCAGATCAAAAGACTGGGTCATTGTCCCCATCTGTCAGGGCAGTTTTATTCAAAACAGGGAGTCTCTCATCTTTCTTTTTCCCAGACACATGCACACTCAACTGAAGACTGTTTATGAAGCAAACTGCCCTAAAAACAAGAACTGGAAGTTTATTTATTCATTCCTTTACTCAGCCAGTCAGGGTTTCTCAAAGCATACACTTCTCCTGAGATTTTGTAAAAGTGCAGATTTAGAGCTACTAGGTTTGCAGTGAAGCCTCAGAGTCTGATTACTAAACAAGCTCCCTTACTTAGATCAAGCCTTGAAGTATCATCCATGGACTGGTAAATTTGGCATCATCAGAAGCTTGTGAGAAATGCTACCCCAAACCAAGTGAATCAAAACCTGCATTTTAAACAAGAGCCCCACTTTATCATGTGATGAACACCACTCCACTATTTAATTAGCTGACAAAATAAATTATAGGCAGAGGTCCCCTAATGGGCAGGGGTAGTAGGGATTAGAAAGTAGGGTCAGGTAGATTTATTGTTCCATTTTTCATTTCAAAACTCTTTTAAGTCTCTGTGCCAACGTAGTATTGATGCTCTTCAGAACACACATGGATGCCTCTTTGTTCAGTCATTTAGTGGCATGATATCCTTTTTCTTTCTCACCGTGATTGCCATTGTCACTAAATACAGGGGTCCATTGGAACAACAAATCTCCTTCTCAAAAGAACTCCACTGTAGGTTAAGAGAAAAAGTGTCACCAGAAGAGGCATCCTGTGTCCTACCTTGTCAGAATGATTAACAGTTCATATGAAATGCTAGGAGAGCAGAGCTTCTGTTTGCTTGCCTGTAACGTGGAGATGATGGCTTCCCATACAGCCTTATGTTGAGGAGCGTGAAACGTATGTGTGGAGGAGCTTTGAAAACATTACAAAATATTTATGTGATTTAAAAACAGCAATTTGGAGAAAACATCATGTGTATTACAGTGGAAGAGAGATATGGGTTCAAAATTTAGTCTTTACCATCTACTAACTCGGATTTGTGGCAAATCATTTCGAGTTGACCTCAAATTTCTTTTCTATAAAATAGCCATAACTTCTACCATACAATAATTAGAAATGTTGGTGACATAGAGTCAGGTGCATAGCAGAGTTTAGTAAATGGCAACCAAGAGCAGCAGATTAAGGGACTTAAGCCTCCAAAGATGATTTCTCCTTTGGGGAACCTGTTCGATGGGGCGACATGAAAGGGTGATTTTAATATGGTTAAGGTCTTTGGTAAATGCCCATCCAATTCAAGAGACTGATATCTTGAAGTTTATTATTTTAAGTATTCTAGAAGAAAAGTCCCCAAACTTCAAACAAGGTTTTAATATTTCTTTAAATATCTGAGTACCAATCTCTGCAGAATTTTGAGGATTTGCCGTGATTATTCTGTATCATTCACATAATTGCCATCTGTGCTGCCAGACAGATCCTTTTTTGAAAGCCTGTCACAGTAAGAGGTGTCCCTGCAAGTGGACACTCCAGGCCAAAGGGAAATAGCAAAATTAGTGGTACCAAGGTCATGCTCTGAGGAGCGTGGGAATTGATGGTACCCTCATTATCAGAATAACAGAACAACAAATCATCTTTGCTCAAGACATAGGGAGGCAGCTGCTGGACTGTTACTGCTTTAGTGTTGGCAGTCAAGCATTAGAGACAGAGGGACTATTGTCCATGTTGAAAATATGTCTTCACCATCCTGTCTCTGTCTTCACAACCTCTAGCTCTTGCTTTTATTTTGGAAATGCTGTTTAAGACCCTCAGTTTTCTTAAGATTCTTCAGGCAGACTGGGCCTTTGGAAAGGTTTTTTGTTTTTTTGTTTTGTGTCGTTTGTTTGTCTGTTTCTTTTCATGACTGCCCATCTTCTCCCTAGAATTTGCAGTTTTTATGCGACATACTTGCAGGTGATGTTTCAGAGTATCTGGTATGTGATTCCACACATTCTCAGGTAGTGTCATGTGATTTTTTTTCCACCTGACTGTCTTTGTAGGGCAGGAGATATATGCTCAAGGCCATGTGAGTAGGAGGATAAGGAACCATCTCCTAGAAAAGGTATTTCAGTGGAACCCAATTAGGAAGAGATGGGGTGAAGAGGGAGGAGTTGAGCAGGCAGGAAGAGAAGGGAAGAAGTACTTGGTGGCATGGCCCGCGCTCTGAATAAAGAGCAGGGTCTGTAGGTAAGAACTGAGATAATTTAGGAGTATCGTTCCGCTTTAATGATTTAAGAGTAAATGCACTGGTGTTTTCAGATCCAGCATGGCAGTCACCTTTGCTCCAGGCAAAGTCTGATGAAAGGCACCCTGATGTTCTGAGTAAACCTTTTCCTGGGGACAGTGGGGGCTTCAACATTAGTATCGTGACTGTCAAAGGTGCTCCTTGTTGCAACATTGCCTGTGACATAACAGCATAAAGGATGCATCAAAGGGAGGCAGCTGGTTTCACTGCTTAGGTAACTATCTTGGACCATCCAGGCCAAGTCAGTGTTGGCTCTGCCCTTGTGTCAGCCTGCCTCACAGCTCGTATTGCTTGCAAGTTATGAGCTCAAAGAACGGCTTGATCACCATTCTGGTAAGAAGCTAGAAGGTGATCCTAAGTCCTAAGTCCTTGAAGTCTGCTGATGCTCTCATGGTTGCCTCGGCTCCTGGCAAGCCCATGTGTGTTGAGAGCTTGTCTGCCTGTCCTCCTCTGGGTTGCTTTGCTCTTTTGATATGAGACAGTTGCTGTGCCAGTTATCAGGGAAGTGGACAAGAAGGCTTTTGGAGCTGGCAAGGCCACTAAGTCTGCCCAGAAAACTCAGAAGGCTAAGTGAATGTTACCCAACGCCTGCCACCTCGCCTTCATCGGTAGAGGAGGAGCAGTCTCAGGGATGCTTGTCTCCATTGGCCACTTAAATTTCATAGTAAAAGACTAGTTAATGACAACAATGCATCATAAGATCCTTAGAAGGGAAGGAGACTATGGTGGACTGACTAGTCGTGTACGTGTTTGTGACTGTTTAAATTAGTTGTTTTTAAAATTGGTCCTTTAATAGAAACAACTTGACTAGAAAGAATCTGTCATAGAATTTTGAGACCCACTAAAACAAAGTTGAATGAGAATAAAGGTAGGAATAAAGCAGTTCAATGGGATTGTGCTCCGGCTCCTTCTTAACAGGTTACACAGTGGTCTTTTCTGGATCTAGCCTCAATTCTTTGCTCACATTTTTAGGGTCTGACCTGTGAGTGGGTTGGTTACCTCTTCTTTAGGTCAAGACCGCAGCTCCCGGCCTTCACCTTTAGTCATTAGCAGTCTTTAGGGAGTACATGTATAAAAGGTAGGGGACATACAGCTCTGGATAAAGGGAACTTCCTGAAAGACAGCAGTAAAAACAGGTAGAAAAGCTTCATTTTTAAAGAATTTACACAAGGCCATGTGAAATGAGCATTTACCATGGATCTACAAACTAGATTTGAGTATCCATTGTGCCCGTTGCTAGCTATAGGACCTTGTTAGGCAAGACATTTTATCTCCTGGAAGTCCAGGGGGGAATGATGCCTGCTGTAGGTATGCTAGACCTACTACTAAACTGTAAACTTCCCTAGATTTTTGTTAGTATCAAATGAAATAATGGAGAACATCAAAGATTTTGAAGTTGTACTGTCCATTTTGGAAGCTACTAGCCATGTGTGATTACTTAAATTAACTGAAATGAAATAAAATGTAAAATCCAGTTCCTCAATAATGCTATCTACTTTTCAAGTGCTTAGCAGGAACATATGGCTCATGGCTGCCGTATTGTACAAATATGTAGAGCTTTTACATTATCGCAGAAAGTTCCACTGGCTAACTTTATCTAAAGTATGATATTAAGAATACAATGATAGCACCCTGTAGAAGCGACATGTTAGTTGGGGATTTTTGAGAAGACCCAGAATGCACCCATTAGCTAAAGTAAAATGAAGGATTTGACTAATTCAGGAAAAGCAAAAGGATCCAAATGTCAGGAAACAAAGCTGAGCTTCAGGATGAATTAGAACTGTGTCCTGGAATGTGACTGGAACTAAAGAAGCCATTTTCCCCTTATCACTGTCTGTCTCATTTTCTCCTGTGTTCTTCTCCTTGAGGCCACTTGGTCTCTTCTCTCTGCTTCTATGTGTCAAGAGCTCCTGACGGCTACTGCTTCCCTTTCCCCTCCTCTTTCTCCTCCCTTCCTTTCCTTTTCAGCTCTGCAGATCAACACTCTCAGTTGCCCTATACAAGGTCCATACAGGGCTGAACCTCCACATTCACTACCTGAATGAAGGTGACAGAGAGAGGAATGCAAGTTAGAAATCAGGTCTAAGCTTTTTATCATTTCTGAAATGTGAACAGCACACTCACAAGTTCCCTTTTCTCTTCTGCCTTTAGGAAAGAACATGAAGTTCCCTTGGAAATCACTCAGGAGGAAGGTGGATGGGCCTATTTAAGAGAGAGTGAAATCTGCAGGCCGCAAGTCTGGGGCCCGAGGGCTGGCAGTGGAAAACCCTGTTGGTCTGTGATCTCTCACTGAAAAGTTCCAAGTGCCTTTTTGCTTCCTGCAAACGAAAGGAAGAGAAGGAAAACACCATGTCCATAGCCCTGAAACAGGTGTTCAACAAGGACAAGACCTTTCGGCCCAAGAGGAAATTTGAACCTGGCACACAGAGGTTTGAGCTCCACAAACGGGCTCAGGCATCCCTCAACTCGGGTGTGGACCTGAAGGCTGCTGTGCAACTGCCCAGTGGGGAAGACCAGAACGACTGGGTGGCAGTGCACGTGGTGGACTTCTTCAATCGGATCAACCTCATCTATGGCACCATCTGTGAGTTCTGCACTGAGCGGACCTGCCCCGTGATGTCAGGGGGCCCCAAATATGAATATCGGTGGCAGGATGACCTCAAGTATAAGAAACCAACAGCACTGCCAGCTCCCCAGTACATGAACCTCCTCATGGATTGGATTGAGGTCCAGATCAATAATGAGGAGATATTTCCAACATGCGTGGGTAAGTCCATGACCAACTTCTCAGGTTGTTTGTCCTATGTACCCCCAAACTCTGCAAATTTACAGAATTAATCCTTCCGGAGCTGGCTATGACTGCCAGATAACACCTGTGTCAGTGGTCTCCTAAATCATATTGGTCCTATTCCTGTAATGTCTTTCTCTATATGTAAAACTAAATTGAAACGAAAAGAATTAACTTGTGGACCTCAATGATACATGTTTTACATGCTAGGAACACTAGGGAAATATTAGTCTTGCTCTTATTGGCTTTCTTAGGACTAGACACCAAGCCCATCCAGTTGTCCTGTTAAGTTTTTATTTTTTGCCTAATTGACTAGTTAAGGTAATGTTGACTTGGGTATAATTTCTGGCAGTATATACCTTTCAGGATTAAGAAATCCAGTTTGAGGATATATGGATTTGTTTGGGGAGCAAGCAAACAGGAATTCACATCCTGGGAAAATGAAAATCCTAGCATTCTCTTTCCTCTTAATCATAGGTTATTAATCCCGTACTCTACTGTTAACCCTTGCATCGCTGCTAGACCTTTTGGGACACTTGAAATGCAAGTGCTTTTGTTTGCTTTGTGCTTTAGGCCATAAAACTCAATGGGAAGCACCAAACTTTCTCCAGCCCTTACATTTCTTTATGCTTCTGGACATTGGATTTCCTACACACTGATGGGCTGAATTTAGAATTCAGTGCTGTAAGACTGAAGCTCCACAAGAATGAGTGGTCTCCTGCTTCCATGGTCATTCCTGTACTGCCCAGCACTGTGCCTTGGACCCTACATGGGCCCTCAGGAAATATTTCAGGAATGACTGAATAGATACTGTCCAATTAGGAAGCATTCTTAAATAGCTCTGAGATTGCGGAGGTGCAAAAAAGTACATTTGAAACACATGTGAAATCACCTCTAGCTTGGGGATGTCCCCATGTGGCAAGGAACACCGAGAAGGGGACGTATGGAAGTAATTAAGTTTACATCAGGAAAAAAGTGTATAAATTGATTGCTGCAGTATGGTCCATCTTGAAATACTCAGCGCACAAGTTTATCAGACTCCTCATGTTGCTTTGGCTTATCCAGTTCGTTCTTCCTCCCGAGCCTCATGAACAGGAAGTGGCAGGGGATGAAGTAGAACAAAGGAAGAAGGCAGGTTCAAAAACTCCCATGAGCATAGCACGTTGGAAGGGTAGGAATTCCTTAGGTTCTTGTCTTTATGCACTCTCATTGACTGTCAGAGGCTACTTATGGCACTGAGAGGAATTTTTCTTTTCTATGAGTCTTACAGGTAGCTATCAGAGCTCTGTGTACAACATAGGGTAATAATAAAGATAAATAAATGTGGGCAAGGAGGCCTCTCTTTGTGCTTCCCTTTATCTCCTCCTGGGTGCTCTGAACTCTGGTCACTTCTGCTTTCTGGCAGCTATGGTTACCACATGGCTTTGCTAACCAGAAACCTTAGCATAGAACTACACAGAGTAAGGCAGCTTCTGGCTGTCTGCTTGGAAACAGGGCATCACAACTGGTTTTAGACTTTGCTTGGAGGAAAAGGGTGCATGCCTTCATGGTCCCCAGATAACTGACTGTGCTTTCTTTTTCTAGACACATCCTTGTGTCATTCAGCATGTTCAGGGGGAAAAGCTGAATCTTCTCTTCCTGTTCTACCTAATGTATGCTCTATATCACAATAATAATTAATATTCTGAGAAATCTTAATGTGATTTTCATCCCAATGGAAAAATACACTTGGAAATTGCTGAGCGAATTTGATTTCCTTACCACAGGATTTTACATATGTCAGTGTGTCCTATGAATTTCCAAAGAGCGAATATGTTAGTATATGGTGTTTCTGATTTGACCTAGTACTTTTTTTTTTTTTTTTAAGTGAAACACCATTGATACTTTTTGGGAAAAGTTAAGCTGTATAAATCAGAGTTGTCAAACTTGTGTATATCAAATCACTTGAGCTTTCTATTTAAAATATAATTTCTTCAGTCCTCTCCCTTAACAATTAAATTAAAATCTCTTAGGTGTGAGCTAAGAAACTGCACTTAAAAAAAAAAACCTACTGTGTGGTCACTAGGTCACTACATTGAATAACTGATCTCTAGAGCTGTTCCTCCTACCTAACGGAAAATGTGTATCCTTTGACCAATATCTCACATGCTACTCCCCATCCTCCTGGTAATTCCCATTCATCTCTGCTCTTATGAATTCAGCTATTTTAGGTTCCACGTAGAAATGAGATCATAGGATGCTTGGCTTTTGGTGCTTGGCTGTTTTTGTTTGACATAATTTTCTCCATGTTTTTCCACAAGTAACAGTATTTCTCCCCTTTTAGAGGATAAATAGTACTCTACTGTATATATGCCACATTTTCTTTGTCCATTCATTCACTGGATATACTGCATATACAACTTTGTTAGGTATATACCGTATGTTGAGTGGAGATACATATATATGATATAAATATATATGTATGATATAAATATATATGTAACACTTTATCTATTTATGTACATTGGCCATATGCTTGTCTTCTTTTGTGAAATGTCTACTCAGATCCTTTGTCAGTTTTTAACAGCCCTGTTTCCTACTTTTGAGGTGTTCATAAGTTCCTTATGAACCTTCAGTTTTATAAAGCATCCACCACTCTTCTGCTTATTATGATCACCTGGAAAGCTTTTCATTCCACTGAAAATAGACAAGTTCTTACTGTGGTTTTATCCAAGTTCTCTCCTATAGTTACCCACTTCTTTGTCTAGTGAATTCTCATGCACCCCTAGGGGTCCAGCTGCAATACGATGTCCTCTGTGAAGGCTTTCGCCTGTTAGAATCTAGCCAGGCCTGGTGGTACATGCCTGGTGTTCTAAATACTAGGAGGGCAGAGGTAGAAAAATCACTTGAGCCTTTGACTTTGAGACCAGGCTAGACAACACAGCTAGACCCCTTTTCAAAACCAAACCAAACCAAAACAGAAAAAGAAAGTTAAACTCCCTAACGGTAAAGAATATGTCCTGCTCATGTGAATATCCCAGCACTATGTCCAATCCTGAGGCATTATGTGATACCTCATTGGGCAGATGGATGGATGAATGTGTGGATAGATGGAAGGATGGGGAAATAATCTTTCTAAAGTTCTAACATATGCATGGCAGTGATTGTCAAAGCAAAGTTTAACCAATATCTTTGAATCCTTTGTTACCATTCCTGAATATTTCCTAAACTTACACAGATTTTTTTTTCACCTCCTCTGTTTAACTTTTCCAAAGTGAAATATTAGGGGGTCAGTAAAAACTACCACACTGTGGGAGTCTTTTTCAGAATCCTGCTTACCTCTGTGATTTGCTTTCAGATGTTATTGTTGCTGGCTTTTAGAACAATGTATTTTTAGGAGCCACTTTCTCTGCTACATTTAATTTCCTCCTCCTCTTCCTCCTCCTGATTCCAGCCTACTTTTTTTCCTTTTGATCTTTGGGCTGTCATGAGTCATTATCATGGAAATGATCAAGATGTCTGTCAGGATAAAGTAAAAAAAAAAAAAGAATTCTAGGCAAACAACAGGCCCAGGGAGGATGAGAAGTGAGTTCTGTTTAGAATTTCAGCTTGGAATCCTGGGCATATTTCTGCGTTCTTGCCTGGGAACTGGGGTAGCGGGTGGGGCTTAGTCTTTACCTCCTCCCCACTGTGATCCAAGGAAATAGAAGCAGAAAATACTGACAGATGTGAAGGCTTCGCCCTTGGTTAGGTATTAAAGGATATGAACAGCTGTTGATCTCTGCCATTGAAACAGTGAGGAAAGAAATGCTTTCATGTGTTGCTAGATTCAAGTTTAACTAGGAGCCCCATGCTATTCCAGAAGTCAAACTTTCTCAGATGAGAGTACCAAACTCCCTTGTAAACCACAGTTTTCTCCAGTCACCCTCCAACCCCCCAGACTACCTTTGTTAGAAATCCAACAGATGTGTCTGTTAAAGCCCTTAAAACAGCAGTAATTAAGAAGCAAGGGCCACCTTTTCTTGGATCCTCTCTTTAACCACCAGTAGAGATAACAACCAACACAGTAAAACAGAAAGTCACAGACTAAAAAATTCTTTTGCCTAATTATAATAATTTCTGTGTTCTAGCCCCCAGCTTCCCCTTTTTCCTGCTAGATAATAGGATTTAAGAAAGGAAATGAGTAGAAAACTTAGAACTTCTCTGACTCACGTTTTTTTTTTTAAATCTTTGATAAGGAGGAATAAGAACTTGTAAAATGCAATTACATGCTCTCACCTACCTCTGTAGTTTTATAATAAATGGGAGTCAGAGCAAGAAAGATCAGGGAAAGGAAGGAAAAAAGCAAATTCACAATCTGTGGAGCCTGCTAAATATCAGGCACTATACCTGCCACTGTTAATCTTTCTTAATTCTTCCAACAGCTCAATGAAGTGAAAATAAAATTAATATTCCATTTCACTGGTGAAGAGGCCAACATTTAAACAAGCTAAGGAGCTTTCTCTAAGGTAGACAGCTAATACACAATTTAGGGTTCTGTATTTGAGCTGGAGAGTTATCAAAAATCTATGCCCTTATGGTATATTATCTTTTTCATTGATTTTCCTTCATGTGGCTGGAAGCTTTTCATTGTTTGGTTTTAGGAGGATGCTTAGGACAGCAAAGCATTTTTAAGTCTGCTTTTTTTTCTATAACTTTTAAATGAATAATTCTTCTTTTGGCCTTGGCTCCTTAAAATAAAAACAAAAACAAAAACACTCACCCCTGTGAGTGTGTCTAGGTGCTTCTGTAACCATTCCTGTGCTCCAGTCTAAGATTAGCAGACATGGCCTAGCCTCAGGGAAACCCTTTGAGGGCCCACAGCTACCTACTGCTACCACTGGATCCTGCATTCACTCATTCATCCTGTCAGTGTCTGCTGTGTACTGGTTTAAGCCTAGGTCCTGCCTGTTGCCAAAAGCACAGCAAGTAAAGTACCTGTCCTTGAGCAGCTTACGCAA